GCACGCGCGGAGCCGCGCGCGGGGCGGGGCCCGGCGGCGGCTTCTGCGGCCGCTGGGGGGCGGCGGCTGTGTCCCTTCGATAGCTCAGCTGGTAGAGCGGAGGACTGTAGAGGCCGCGCCCCGCGGGAATCCTTAGGTCGCTGGTTCGATTCCGGCTCGAAGGAGACGCCGAATTTTTCTTTTCTGGGACCGGAGCGCGGCTTTGTTTCCACTCAGGAAGACGCTCCTAAAGCAGTTTATAAACACCTGTGATACGCAAGCGATTAATTTTTTTTTTTTCTTTTTTCTTTTTTTTTCTCCTGAGAGGAAACAAAAAAAAAAAAAGAAAATACCGCAAAGAAGTGACAGCTCTGCAGAAAATACTGCAATACGAATAGCAGCGATGCTTTTGGAAGTGCTTTGTTGTTTCCCGTAATAATATTAGTTATTATTACGTTTGATAAAACTATAATTATTTATTTATTAATGAAATTTAATAAATAATATATTGTTGTAATCACAGAATTGTTAGGATTGGACAGGACCTCTGGAGACCTCCCTGCTCAGGTAGAATCACCTAGAGCAGTTTACACAGGAATGCATCTGGATGGGTTTTGAATGTCTCCAGAGAGGGAGATTCCATTGCCTCCCTGGGCATCCTGTTCCAGTGCTCTCCCATCCTCACTGTAAGGAAGTTCTTCCTCATGTTGAGATGGAATTTCTGGTGCTTCAGCTGACGGCTGTTGCTCCTTGTCCTGTCACTGGGCACTTCTGAAAAGAGTCTGGCACCATCCTCATGGCACCCGTCTCTGAGATAGATACTTATATGACCTAATGAGATCCCTTCTCAATTTAATAATATATATTTGGCATTCTCCTATGTGAAGCCAAAAGTAATTAAGCATTTTTAGTTCAGTCTTAGCTAGTTTTATTAGGTCTTCTTTCCCATGGTGATCCTTTGTATTCCATTCTGGACAGTCTCTTCTTGTTTTGAAAGTTGCTTTATGTGATGCCAAATAATCTGTATTAATTTGGCTTTCTGTGATGCCAGATAATCCTTATAAATGAGGGCTGTTAGCGCCCTGGCTGACAGGAGTGGAAAAAAGTCCTCCACCATCTCTTGACTTAAGGTGGCAGATGTGATATTTGGTCCTTTGGATGTGCCAAAAAGGGTGACATGGGATGTTCTAGCAGAATGTGGAGCAGAGGGAGAAGGGTCATAGAGATCCCACAGAAGGGGTTTAATGGAGACAAATGTGGGCTTCCTTAGGACATAGTTAATAAAAGAGCCAGCACTCATACTCTGTTTTTAATCTCCTGTGTTCTATTGTTTCCTTTTTCCTTCAAGTCTTCTTTTCCATTACAGGTGCTACGTGGGGTGCAGAAAAACATGCTTGGCAACAGCTCCTGGCTTGGAGAGAGTAAACGTGTCTGAAAGCGTCCAAATCTGTCTGCATAACAGGGGGAGAATGGAAGTGAAGTTTTCTCCTTCAACAGAACCCCAAGTGAGTCTTCTCTCTGTGTGGGAGTGTTTCTCTGGGGCAGACTTCAGATATGAGAGCAAGGAAGAACCACTCTCTGTGGGAATACAGTACAAGTAAGATTATCAGCATGGAAATAGATTTATAAAGTTCAGCAGGAGTCAGACCTGCACACTTTGCTTCTCTTTGTGTGTTATCCCCATGGCCCCAGATACCTCTTTATTAATTAGTATGTTTTTGTGTATGTGTATGGACAAAGACCATACACCAACAACAACCTTTTCTCCCTTCTTTTCCATCATGGTGCACTGTATCCCTCTCAGGAACTGTCCCATGAATGACCCAGTATGAAAACCTGCCTTTTAGGGAACTGAGGCATCTCAGTGGGCATAAATTGAAGAAAACATTCATTTCCTTAGCTGTTGTCCACACAACTTAATACTCACTAGCAGTCAAAACTGAATCCACAGTCCAAATGCACATTCCTGTGCCATTCCCTGGTGTGGGGCAGGGCACAGACTCCATCTAGGGCTAAAGATTTATTTTATTCCCAAGATTCAGTCCTTCCTATATGAATGTCTCTAAACTCCTTTGTTCCTTTTCACTGGTTCAGTGGCAACTCTTTTCACTTCTAAAGGATAGCTCACAAACTAAAAGCACACACAGACCTTCTTCAAGAGAAGGAATCATTCCCTTTCTCCCTCTCTGTGAGAGATATGAGATATCCATCTCTATGACATTTTTTCTCTCCCACTCACTCAGAAGGAATTGACATGCATGCATTTCTGTGTAAGAGTGTAATACACCTGAGGGAGAATGAAAGCCAGGAAAATAAAACCAAACCAAAACAAAAACAAAAAACCCTCACAAAATGTCCTGGTCTCAGGACTTATTTTATGCTAAGCAACTATTGTGCCTCTTGAGCTACAGCCTGTTACATTCATGTGACTGTTTGGCTCAGTTTCCCATTCTTGTAGGACATGCTCATGGATATAAAGGTACTGTTTTTCACTACAGTAGCAAACTAGTCAGTGGTCGCTTGATAGTGTAACTTGTGCAATACTTCATTTAGGTGCAAGTTACTAGTGACAGTCATCTGCAAATGCATAATTATTTTTGTATCTGGTCTCCAGCGAGATCCAATAATGAGCTCTGTGTGTACAGTCAAGTCATTTGTATCACTTAATGAAAGATGCCAGATTATAAAAACCCCAATCATACAACATTTCACTCAGATACACTTGGTTGGTTACCAGAGTAGAGCACTTCAGGGGATAATAAAGGGATGAGGGGTTTTTAAATAGCCTGATGGGTACAGGGGGAACACCTGCTGCAACAGAAAGGAAATTTTCAGGTCCTGTCTTGTAAGAAAATGTTTGTTTGTGTTTCAAACGAAAGCTGTCCCTTTTGCTGGAGAAAGGGAAAACAGAATAAATCTCATGGAAGCATGAGGATAGAAAGTTTCAGTCTGCCTGAAGGATTTCAAAGGAGAGATGGCGAAAATGTTCCTGCACAACAAGGTGCTTCCTGATGGATGCAGTTTGAGATATGTGGCATGTGCATAGACAAGATGTTCTGCAGATTGCAAAGGTGGGAAATCACTGGAAACAAAAGAGCACTTTCGTGATATTTTTAGTACCTGACACTTTATTACTTCTTTACTGAGGTATTCTTTGTCAGTGTATCTATTTTGAATATTGTAATCACATGCTTCTTTTTGTACTTCACCTGACCTAAGTGGGATTTCAGGGTCACCCAACTATCACTCAGCTATCAGCAGCTCTATCAGCTCACATACTGGGCACTTAAGACATAATTTTTATCTCCCTGGGACGTTCCCCTGCCTTATTTCAGCAGGAGAAGTGGGCTAAATGAGCATCCTCCACGGTCAGCCAAGCTGGAGCGTGACAGTGGAAATCTGGAAGATGCTGGGAAAAGACTTGAATATTGGAAGTTCCCAGTGGGGTTGGGAAAGATCCATGTAATAAATTCTTTTCAAAAATAAGTCTGTTTGGAGGTAAAATTGACCCAATAGAAAACTCCCAAGGATGCCGAGCAGGATGTGTGGGTATCATATAAAGGAACACAAATTCACATCTCCAGCTTTTGAACAAGACGCTTGGTTGTTGGTTAGTTTTGGTTTTTGGGGTTTTTTTTAATTACCCAAGCTTCCCAGTTTTCCCTCCACCTACGCACAGAAGAATGGGTGGGAACCGTGAGGAAGACTAGAGTTAGGAAGGCAAGGAGTATAAAATTGAAAAGAACGAGCCAGGTAGGAGTCGAACCTACAATCTTCTGATCCGTAGTCAGACGCGTTATCCATTGCGCCACTGGCCCCCAGCTGTTCGATGCTTTATGTGTGGGTGGTGCTGTATTACCCCACAGGGACGCAGGGGACGCCTTTTCTGATGCGTGGCACCACCAAAATGCAGAGGTTGCACAGTGGAAATCCCAACATCTGTGTCCAAGCTCCATATCTGATATTGCTTCACTGTGATGAAGAGTTTTGCAAGTGTAAGCTGAAAATAAGCCCCATTTTGTCACCTGCTGCAATATCTATGCTGAAAGGAAAACAGGGAAAACATCATAATATCATCCAATTCACATATTCTGGCATGTTCACATCTGTCAGAGTGCCCCTTCATCCATAAACCCTGTTGTCTCCCTGCCCCTAGCAGACATTTGTGCCAGCTTAGCCTTTCTGCTCCCCTGGTGTCTGGAGGAGGAATCCCAGCTTGTGGGAGAAGGAGGTGGAATCTGCTGCTTCTATGGCTCTGTAGCAGACCAGCCTTGTAGCCTTCACTCCACATCTGGTCCTCCTTCTGGGAAGGACCCCAGACCAGACAGACGGGGCCTGCAGGGCTCGGACCGACAGAGAGCTGGTCTGCTCCGAGGGATAAGGGCATCTCTGAAGGCAGTCAGACAGCATCAGCACCTCATCTTCCAGGCAGCCATCATGCCACTGTCACATCCATACCTCTCCCGTTACAACACGCCTGACTCACATCAGCAGGTTGGTTCCTGCCCCGACCTCTGAATTACTCTTGGTCTCTACCCCATAATTTTCTCCCGCAGCTCAGCTGCCAGAGATGATGCTCTTTGAACTGTCCAAACAGGCTTTGCCTCTGAATTCATGCAGAGCATCACGTTGGTGCTTCAACAAAGGTGACTGTTGTCTCAGCGACTGTGGTCTTGGTCACTTGATATATTCCACAAAGACCACGAGGTCACAGAACTGGTTTTCCAGTTTTTACTCATCACATGCAAAATAGATTTTGCTTCTCCAAGAAGAGATGGGGACTTATGACATTTTAGATTCAGCTTCAGGATTTCTTGCTGACACTTGCTGCCTGCTTTTCTGAGCCCTTTGCTTACCTTGTGGCAGTCAAATGTGTTGATCCATCACTGAGAATAACTTGATGTCAGTGAGCTGCAAGCTTCTTTCCCATAGTAGCCTTTGATGTTTGAGTTCTGGCCTGACAATTTTTTCAGGCTTTTATGGGCAGGTCTGTACCAGAGAGAGACAGGATACTGGGAAAAAACTCCATATATTCAGCTCTAGTTTCATTAGGCCAATGAAAACCAAATCGAAACAGTGTTGTACATTAGGGAGCTTGGGAAAGAACATGGATGGCACTTTTCTCCATTCCTTAGAAGCAGGATGGGATTCATGCTACCTGCTGCCATGGAAAATGCTGGGAGCTGTTGGAATCAGACATTTATTGACACAACCCTATTTAAACATGCATTGCTACTGTACCTTCCAGCAGCAGTGATTTTGCCTGACTACTATGATAAATGGTGGCTTTTGGTTTGACTTACTTGTGAGTGCTCCTTCTAGTCATGGACTATCTTGTGGGATACTGAAGGTGTTATGTTCTGGATAATAATAAGGAAGTTGAGAATGAAGTTTGAAAGGAGGATAAGCAGCTCTTTAGTCCAAAGTAAAGAGATTCCCCCTTCCCCTCCCCTTTTCTCCACTGCTCTCAAGTACACAGCTTGCCTTGTCCTAGCTATAGTTGTGTGTGGGCACTCGAGGCACCTGAGTCAGCTTGATAATCCAACAGGGTGAGTAATTTTCCAATGGTCAGTGAAGTGAATCATCTCAGATGGTGCTAATGAGGGGACCAGACCTTGCACTCAGGCCAACACAAGGTAGGTGAGAGGCCCAGGCTGCCCTCTCCTGCTGGCCAGGGCAGCTCAGCCTCTTGCAAGTGCTTGCCAAACTGCAGCCTGGAGGAGCAGTGTTGTGCTGAGGTAATGAAGAAAAAGGCATGGAGTGGGAGCAAGGAGTGAGAAGTGGAGAACATGTTCAATAGGTGAGAGGTAGAACTGCTGTCTGTGTCCACAGACAGCTCACTTTAGACCTGTTCTTTCCAATCTCTCTTCATTTTTGTCCTTGCTCAATTTACTTTGTGTAGGTGCAAATAAGGTGGGTAGTGAAGATGAGGCCAAATTCCTGCCTCAGGCTGGTGCAGGGGGATAAACTGGGAGGAGCAGATCTATAAGCAAGGATGTGCAAATAACTTCTCTCTTACAACTGTTTGTTGGGTTTTTTTCCCCTGAATTAACCAGAAAAACCACAAAGTGAATGAAAGGGGCTGAGCATGTCCAAATGGGTGGTGGTTGTATAATAACAGGAAGGATGTAATTGAAAACAAAAGTTTGCAGGGGTAGAGGTGGTGCCTTTTTCTACTTGGACATCTTGGACTCACACCTATTCCTCCAGCTGGCAGCCAGAGAGAAGATCCACTGCATGCCCAGGCCAGGTGGGATAGAGGGCTTCCATGTAGGAGCTCAGAGATCCCAGGGATGCTACCCCTCCTGCAGTGATGGGATGAAGAGTGATATTAGAGAAAGATAATCTCTCAGATTTCTGTGTAATAACAACAGAATTTCTCTGAGCTTCTCCGTTTTGCCTAATGCAGCATGTACTGCATTCCAAAACAGCTGTATTATGGTGTCTGGCAATTCAGAAAGCAGGACCCAGTGAGATGGGCCCTGCTTGGACCATAGAAAAGGCT